GGGAGGGAGTGAGGGGGGGAAGAAGTTTCGTTCCCCCCCACCCCATGGGCTGCAGAGGGAGGCGAGGAGAGGGGTCCCGTAATTCTCAGAGAATGACAAAGGTGGCTGGCCGACTGCTACATTGTTGAAGGTAAGGTAACTTGATGGCGATTACAAAGTTTCAATGCAGGCGCAGACCGCGGCTGGGAGCGGCGAGGGCTCCCTGGTGAGCTAATGGTTGCCAAGGGTATGTATGCAGGTGGTGCCAATTAAAAACCACCCCTGAGCCCTGAGGAGGAGCGCAGGGCAGACTCCGGAGGCATCGGGGGCTGCCTGGCCCCGTCCAGGGCGCAGTTCAGTTCGTAAAGGCTGTTTGTCTAAACACACCCTCTCCTTCAATGCCTGGTAAGCAGCGAGTCCCCCCCCTGACGGAGGGAGAGCAGGGGTTTTTTTCAGTTTTGTTTTTTTTTTTTTAGAGAATTAGCGTGTTGACTGCGTGGAGTTAAGACGTGCCTCGAGGCCCGCCAGACCTTGCCCAAATTCAAGCCCTTCTCTTCTTTTGTTTTCTCAACTTTCAGCTCATTGGATTGGGCGAGAGGCTTGGGGTTCCCCTCGGAGGCTCACTGACCGCATTTTGGGGTGTGAGTGGGGGCGGTAGGAGGGGGGCCCCTAGCCTTTAAAAGCTACTAAAAAGTTTGGAAAACAATGCAGGGAACGCTCATTCCTGCCTTTGAACCCCTGCGGTGTCTCTGGTTTGGTGATTTCAGGAGAGTAACTTCTGAAATGCACAAAAGGAGGGGCGGCCTCGCAGAGGAGTCCTCGAAGCAGGAGTGTGGAGTGTGTCCGGCATTTTAAAGTAGGATGTCCTGTTGCTCAGGGCGATTTTCACGAAAATACATTCTTTCTGGCAGGCGTTTTTTTTTCTTATCTTTTTTTTTTTTTTTTCCTTGAGAAAACAGGCGGGAGGGGGTGTTTTCACGGGTGTTCCCAATCGCACATAGCCAGAGCTTTTCTCCCAGAGGCCGAGGAAATGGTGGGCACCTGGAAACACGGTGAGAAGCCAGGAGGCAGCGGAAATGCCTGATTTTGTTGAAGATCTAACCCAGGACCTGGCCTTCCCCGGGGTGGGCACGGATTCCGTTTGGAGCCCAGAAGGTGCTAGGACACAATGCTGAGAGAATACCCAAGGGCTCCCACCAGAGTCTGGCTGGGGTTCTCTGGGCGGGCGAGGGGAGCCATGAATATTGGGGGGGGGTCCCCCATTGTGCTGGCCTACTTGGGGTCAGTGGTTCCTCTTGCTGCCAGCAATAGGATGAGCTTAAAAACAAAACAAAAGCACACAAACACCCTCGAATGTAGACAATTCAGAAGTTTGGGAATCAGAGAAAGTCGCCCAGGCGAGGAGGTTTCCTGTCCATAGAACATGAGACTATGAACAGAGCGTCTTTGTAGGGAGGTTTGGAGGCCAGGCGTGGTGGCCAGATAAACGGATGGTTCTAAAAAAAATATTTAAAAAAAAACATAGTGCGCTTTGAAATGTGCCGTGGCCATCTCGTGAGAAGGGATTCCGTCAGCTTTCCGTGCCAGACACAGGCACGGCCGATGGTCAGGTATGTGACCCAGTGGCGAAAGGAGTTGGTGTTCTATTACCAGCAGAAGGAGTTTGGGGAGAGCCCACGTATAGCAAAGGCTAGTGTGTCGACGCCTCAGAGGGAAGTAGCCAAGGGCACGGTCATTTCTCTAGGTTGGATGTGCGGGGAGGATTCGAAGAGTCCAAACCTGAAGAAATACGCGCAGGTTGGGGTGGGGGAACCTTAAACACACAAAGCGACAGAAGCCAGCCCCTCGGACCACGTATCGTGTGGTCTGATTCCACGTATGCAAAACCCAGAGCGAGCCAATCCATAGAGAGAGAGAGAGTAGAGCAGGAGTTGGAAGGCTGAGAGAAAGAGGGGGGGTATGAGGGGGAGGGGAGGTGGAAGGGAGGGGTCCCCAGTTTCTTTTGGGGGAGGGTGATGAAGAGATGAAAATGTGCTATAGTTTGATCCTGGTGCCCCTCGCACAACTCTCTGAATATGTGAAAATGACTTTTATGGTATGTGACTTCTCTTTCAACAAACCGTCCTTTTTTAAAAATTATTATTATTTTTAAAGAAATAGGCGAAGGTGGGGAAGAAAGCCCTGTTCCATAGGCGTTAGATTGACACGATTAAGTGCATCCGGCCAACAGGTTGGTGTCCGGCTGCCCCCCTTTAATTTAAGGAGTTTTGCCATAATTGCAATCATACCACCGGCTGATCATTGAAGCTGGAAGCTTGTGGGTGATAGGCAAGTCGTCGGATGGACTTTTTTTTTTTTTTTAAATCGCATGCATTTTCCACACTGTGGCCATTTCATGAACAGAATCCGGGAGAGATGGACAGGCAGGAGAACAGAGCGTTGGTTATAGAGTTGAGATTCAAGATGGAGGGGCTGGACTGACACACACACACACACACACACACACACACGCTAGTGAGGTTTGTAGCAGGAAAATTCTTCACTGAGCCCGAAACAATGTTGGGTCTTTCCAAGATGAGGGTTTAGAAGCTGAGTTCGGATGGCTTTTTTTTTTTTTTTAAAATATGTATTTCCAGCTCCTTCCATATGTTTTCCAACACAGAACTTAATGGAGTGTTGTCAGCGGGTCAGGAATTTTCACTTTCTTTTCTGATATTCCATATGACCCACCCCGGATGGTAAAGACTAAATGAAGATGAGCTGTTCATTTGAATGTAGTGGGGTGGTTTTTCTGTTTTGTTTTGTTTTTGTGTGTGTGTGGGTTTTTGTTGTTGTTTTTTTTTGTTTTGTTTTGTTTTTTCATCCCTTTGTTGCTTATTTTATTTTTTGCACAGCTTTAGCATCTGAGCTGGGAAAAGCATCTTTGTAACCTACAGTAGCTCTGCAGGCATACTGTCCTCAAGAAAAAGAAATTCTTAAGGAGCAAAAGATTTGTGCAATCCAACAAAGGCGTGTGTGTGTGTGTGTGTGTGTGTGGTTTCCGCACGGTTCTGCCCTTCTGCAAATGTACCTTGGCCTTTTAATGGGAAGGGATGTAGCGGAGAATTGCTGTTTACGTTTGTTTGGGGTCTTTGTTTTGGCTGAGTTCACGCAAGAAGAATGTGTTTCCTCTCCTTACTGTTGCAAGAGCAGGGCAGTAAATGCAAATGATGCTGTCCTACAAGATGCTTGGCTGGCTGGGCTATGTGAACTTCCTGGTCATCCTGCTGGGTTCCAACATTGTGCACCTGCTGTATGCAGTGTGCCGGGCCATGTCTGAGCCCCCTGAAGCGAGAGAGGATTTTGCTTTTGCCCTCGGGGACATTTTACATACTCAGGCCTGAAACAGAGTCGCCTGCAAACACAGTTACACGATACATTGTTTTCAAGGAGACTGCATTTTTTTTTTTTTTTAAATAGGCCCTTTTGGAAACTTGCTGTAGACTTAAGATAGTGACGTGAAACCCGTTAAACCCGTGGATCTTCTGAAGGCCTGTGCTGGGTGCACCCTCGGCCTCGGGGCGCAGTGTCACGCTGCACGCCATGACCTAAAGGAGACATTTGCCTGCCCGTCATGGTCCGCCACCCTGCCTTCTTGATAACGGGGGTTGTTTTGACAGTTTTGATTTAAAACGTGCAGCGTCAGAGCTCCCCTTTGCCGACACGCCAGGAGTCAGCAGGTGTGCGCGCGCATGTCATGTGGCACGTTCTGAGCTGCAGGGGCCGTGGGACTTCGGTCACAACTTTTCTGCATGGGCCTGGCCACTGTGTGGCTCAATGGTTAGAGTGTCACCCCCCCCACCCCCCGCCCGCCGCCAAAGGTTTGTGGGTTCAAGTCCCTGTCAAGGGCGTGCCAGGGTT